TATTATCCCAGAAATTAACAAACGAGTGATCTGAATGCTGAGATGCACTCTTTGTACACGGTTAGCTAAATTTTCTGTTGGAAAATGTTTCATCCTAAAAAACTATAATTCCCAGACTGATAGGTCCATTAGACGTTTGCAATTTGGATTAAAACGTTAAAAGATTCGAATCGAAGAAACATACAATGGAGTTTTTATTTTACAGATTGGCATGATTCTTATAAAAGAAGTGGATGTTTATTAACACAATAGAGATGGGAAACATGTTAATAATGTTTTATCCCAAAATGATTACTTTATCTTTGTAAAAAATGCCTAGACATTAATTTAAAAAGATAGCGATCAAACATGTTGAATACTCGCATTACACAATATGTATTGCATGTACCTTGATAATAAATGCACTTTTGAGTTGACCTAAGCATGACCTAGTAGACAGTGTATCGGACCGGGAATGCATACGTCTCGGGTTCAAGACGTGGGCTAACCAAACACGAGTCATACTTTGAGTACGTTATTAGATCGACAGTCAATATCGCTACAAGATTAGTCACTTCAGGCTGATTCTATTTCCGATTGGTGTTTTCCCCCCGGTCAGGTAAAATAGTTGCGTTATGCGTACATTGGACTGAAAGGCCATGTCAAAGACCCCCTGTGGTTCAGGTGTGGCCACATAAACGATATTTTTTTTCGCGACACCATATTTTTTACAAGTTTTGTTACAGATAAAAAAAAAATGCAAACGTATGGTTTTGTTTTCTTTTTTGCTTACAGAAACGATCAGACAAGTAATGTTAATTGATCAAAAATAATATAACTTTTGAGTAAAACAAAGCTACAATATTAAATTACTTTGTAAAATACTGGCAAGTTTAATAATTTTTTTTCCTATAGAAACCAATCTTGTTTCTCTAAATCAGCATCAAAACACATTTACATGTATTGTTTGATGAAGAAAGGAATCTACTGAAATTCTAATACATACTTACGCAAACTTAAACCACTTTGTCGTCGAGTGACATTTGCAATAAAAAATAAAAAAAACATTTGATTACGTTGTTTCTTTTCCAGATGTTTCAATACACCTTGTAGATTTCATTACGCTCCCCGGAGGTTTAACGTAATTTTGTGGAACCAACCGCATCCTATCGAGGCAAATTACACACACACACACACACATATATATATATTGCTGGTTTCTGTTTTGGAAGAATTTCGATATGGAATTGCCAACGGGTGTCACTTAGAACGATCAATATTTTCTTGAAGTATTTGCAACAAGACTTTCAACTAATATAAGACGTTGAAGGTTGAAACTTTTGGATTAAATAAAATGACTAAAACTTGCATCAAGATTTTCAACTAATATAAGACGTTGAAGGTTAGTAAACTTTTGGTTTAAATAAAATGACTAGGACTTGCATCAAGACTTCCAACTAATATAAGACGTTGAAGGTTGAAACTTTTGGTTTAAATAAAATGACTAGGACTTGCATCAAGACTTTCAACTAATATAAGACGTTGAAGGTTGAAACTTTTGGTTTAAATAAAATGACTAGGACTTGCATCAAGACTTCCAACTAATATAAGACGTTGAAGGTTGAAACTTTTGGTTTAACTGAAATGACTAGAAACTTTATTCTGTGTAACGAGTCTATAAAATACTTCAATGTCTATTTTGAAAACACAAAACGTAAGAAGTTATACTTTTGGTCTAAATAGCTGTATTAAATACATAAAGCTCAAGCTCAGACGAATTTTAATTTCTATTTCTATTTATGGAAAAGTCCCTCGATGGCTCAGCGTTAAGTCAGTGTTTACAATGCTAAAACCGGGTTTTGATACTCGCGGTGAGCAGAGCGCAGACAGCCAATTGTGTAGACTTGCGTTGGAAGGTTACTAGGGGTATTTAATACCATTTCTAATTTTGTATTACTAGCTAGAGAAAAACAGCCAGTCATGAAAGCCCTGCCATCTACCATTTACATAACAGATTGACTATTACTTTTATAACGCGCCAATAACTTATAGTGAGGAAATATTTGGAGGTACTGCACGGATTCTAACCTGGTTCGTTAGCTCTGAAACCTAGAGCTTTACCACAGAGCCAACCCGAGCCCCGAACTTGATAATACACCTCAACAGACTGGATGTGGTGTATGGTCACGTTATGATGACACTTGTGGACCTGAGGGTCCATATCTCACTCAACAGACTGGATGTGGTGTATGGTCACGTTATGATGACACTTGTGGACCCTCAGGTCCATATCTCACATGCGGCTGCTGAAAAAAGATTACAAGCCGTAAGTAAAGTATAAGAGCGACGTTCAAATTCAACTATTCGATCAGAGTAGCGTAAGAGTTGGCGGTAGGCGCTGTTGACTAGCTGTCTTCCCTCTTGCCTATCAGTTCAAAATTTTGACGACTAGCACAGACAACTCTTGCGAAGGTTTGCACGAATATACGAAAACGAATACAAGTCAAATGACAGAACAATAATACAGGATTTCCTCCGCTGTGTAAGACACAGCATGCTCACCAAAATAACGCAAAAAGATCTAAATATTCTGTCAACTGACAGAACAATAATACATGATTTCCTCAGCTGTGTAACACACAGCATGCTCACCAAAATAGTATAACACACAGTATGTTCGTCAAAAGAACGCAAAAAGATCTAAATATTCTGTCAAATGACAGAACAATAATACAGGATTTCCTCCGCTGCGTAACACACAGCATGCTAACCAAAATAACGCAAAAAGTTCTAAATACGTATCAGTGTATTTATAATATTTAAGAATATGGTGGCACGTTTGAATTTCAAAGTAATAAGCAACAAAAAAAATGTGATTAGATTAAATAGGTAATATTTCTTACAACAGTTTGTTTGTTTGTTTGAAATTAAGCACAAAGCTACACAATGGGCTA